TTTCCACTCTTCCAGGACCTCCATGGAAAACCCCACTTTTACATTTGTGTGCTGGTGAACACAGTGGGTGGAGCAAAGGCCCAGACAGCCCCCGACCCTGGGACAGGTCTCTGTGGGACAGAAGGGAGCCACTGAAACTACGCTTGTCACTGCGCCCTCTTCAGGACCATTGTGTTATTGCACCAGGATTTCCATCAGGCCAAGCCAGCCCTCCACTCTGTCCTGGGGCAGGCCGGCGGCTGTCCACGAAGCCTGTGTCACTTGGCCACCAGTGTGGGCACCAGGCTCAGTGCAGCAGTCCCATGCTCCCTTCCCCAAGATCCCAGCCACTGCCCCCTCTGGAGCATGTTGCCTGCCTCTGATTCAGGGCCACCACCGGGCCCTACCCCAAGGACACAGCTTGCCCTTGACCCACACAGGCAGCAAAGCCCAGAGCCTAGGCCTGGCTGGCTGGCAGGAAGATGGGGAAGTGAGGGCTACCCAGTCTCTGCTGGACTCCTTGGAAGGCCTGGGGGGGGGGCTGGGTTCACCTCCTAGGGTAGCTCTGGGGCTGAGTGGTCAGGGGCCTGGTGGGTCCGTAGCGACTCTCTGAGGAAGAGACTGAAGCAGCGCTGGGCTCCTCTGACCCAGGACATGGCAGCCTCCATTGGGAGACTTGAAAGAGGAGGGGACAGTGGCCTGCAGAGCAGAAGAGCCTGCCGAAGGTTGCTGGGCAGCAGTGGCAGGTGGGGCCCAGGCTGCCTGCTGAGAGCCTGTGGACAGTCCTCTATCTCATCTCACCATAGTGGCCTTGTGAAGGGGAAACAGCTCCTGAAGATGGGGTGAGCCCCAGGCTGGGCCTGCCAGGCTGTGAGTTCAGGCCAGCGCCACCCAAGGCCCTTGCTGGCCACAGTGTGGAGAGGGCCCTGGAGTGCGGACACTAGCCAATGAAGGACCTGTCGGGTGGTATGGGTGTGCAGAACTGCTGCAGACCGGGGCCCTCCCCCTCCCTGTCACAGCCTGCAGAAGGGACCTTGGGTGGTGGGAATTGAGGCCTCCAGAGCCAGGCAGGGTGGGTGCAGGGCTCTCCCGCCAGGCAACAAGAGGCTGGCCCGGGTGAGCACTGAGCTTGGCTCCCCTGAGCCGGGGCAGGGCAGTCCCTCCCCTGTGAGGAAGCCAGGGGTGAGGTGGCATGTTCTGAGGCCCCCATCCTCCTGCTCAGTTGGCCCGGAGAGCAGCCAGTGCAGCTGACTGCCCGGGGATGCCAGCTGGGCCAGGGGTCAGGTGGCCCAAGGCCTGGAAAGGCTCTGCCCGGGCCTGGAGACTGTCACCACCACCCAGCTCACACAGTGGGGCCACACAAGCTGCATGCCATGTCATCGTCACAATGCCCCAAGGCCATATCACTGTCCCCGTGCACAGATGGAGTCAGAGGTCCAGAGGAACCAGCCTGAGGTTCCCCGGGGGCACATGGCAGCTCTGGGATGACCCTGGGCTCTTCACCTCTGCACTGAGCCTGAGCAGGTCACACAGGCTGGGAGCCCTGGGGTGTCCCCTCACCCTTCCTGGGGAGGGGGTTGCTGGGTGAGCCTCCCACCAAGGGCAGTAGGTGGCAGGAGCACAAAACCGTCTGCTCTGACACTTCTGCCAGCGAGCTCCCCCTTGCTACCCAAGGATGGCATAGGTGGGTGTGGCCAAAGGGATGCTGCTCTTCTGTAGAAAAGGCCCTTGTCCTACAGCCCCACCGCCCAGGGCTCTGGCCCTTGGTCTTCTCTGGGTCCCCCCCCTCCTGTCTAATGGGGGCTGTCCACCCCTCCGCCGTTCTCGGCCCACCGTGGGCTTGTATGCTGGCAGGCATGGCTGGCCCCTAGCAGCATGGCCTCCAGTCCTCCACGGGAGCTTGCTCCTGGCACTGCTGCTGCCGTGGCCCAGGAAACTGGCCTGTGTGCCTCGCCTCATCTATTTTTAAGCACAGGCGCATGAAAGATTCACAGGCTGCTTTATTTACAGGTGGCAGGGATAGTGTCGGTCCCCTGAGGTTCGTCCACCGAGAGGCCTGAGGGGCGCGCAGGCCCCAGAGCCCACCTGAGTCTGGGCACTGCCTCCCTCCCTCCCGCTCCAGGCTGGCTTTGCTCTCCTCCACAGGAGCCTGGACTCCTGGAGCTGCCCACCCTCTGGCCCTGGCCCTGGGAGGGGCTGAGGTGCCCTCCCCTCCCAGGAGTGCATCCCGAGAGCACCTCTTGGGCAGGTCTGGAGGAGGGGCAGGGTCACAAGGTTCTGCCTCAGAGAGCCCAGGGCAGCTGCTTCCTCTGAAGCACATGGGTGAGGTGAGTGTCCCCATTTCACAGACACAATCAGGCGTCACTCAGGCGTGGGGTAGCCCAGAGCCTAAAGCCAGGTGGACCAGACTTCAAAGCCCACACCCACACCTTTCCCTCCTGGCTATGGCTGCAGCTGGGTCAACAGCCACCTTGCCTCTGCTTCCCAGGAGGGGAGAGCCACACATCCTTCCAGACCCCTGCCCAACTCAGGAGAAGACAGAGGTCCAGCACCACCTGGTCCTGGTAGAGCAGGCCACAGCAGGGCCCAGGGGCAGGGGTGGATGCCAGCACACCCTATGCCTGGCTTTCCTCCCCTCTTGACCTCCCCTACTGGGTGTGGGTCCTGTGGGCCTCAGGATGTCCCAGCTCAGCCTTGTCACCTGCTGTCTGGCCAGGTCTCAGCAAGTGGTTAGGAGGACTCTTGACTGCCCTTGCACTTGGGAGAGCCACCTGGCACAGGTCCACAGGAACCCACCCACCTAGCTGGCCCTAGGTGGTGAAGGCTAAGGACACCACAGTCCCAGCCAGCCACCAGCACTGTCCTTCCCCACCACACTTGGATGAACAGGGTAGAGACAACAGGTCCCCTCTGCAGTTGAAATGCATTAATTTTAGAGAGATTTTCTTTTCTTGGTTTGCACCGGCCCCAGGGCGTCTCTGGGGCTTCACTTCTGCGGTGCAGCAGCACTCATTAAATACTGCCTCCTTGGCCAGACCAGCCTTTCCCAGCCCAGGCCCCCTCCTGGGCCCTGTCCGCTTCCAGCTTCCACGGGAGGAAAAGTTTTCTTTCAACCTTGCCTAAGGGGAGGGAGGAGCAGGGGAGGAGGTAAAGTTGGTGACAGCCTCTTCAGGAGGTGACAGGCAAAACTCAGCGTTTCTGGGAACCGAACTAGGTGGTCCAGAGCCCTCACCTTCATGTTGCCCCTACCACTTCTGGGAGCAAGAGGGTAGGGTAGCCCCCTAGCAGTGGGAGCCCCTCTGGGATGCAGTGGCAGGGGGTACAGTGACTGACAGCCTCCTCATCACTCCCTGCTGGCAGCTCACCTCTGGGAGCCCCAAGTCCCCATCTATAAAATGGAGATGCACTTGGTATTCTGGGGAGCACTTAATTGATCATCTATGTTTGGGGCATTGTTGCATGTACCGAGGTGGAGGGAAGGCAAAACAGATGTGCTCCATTATGGGAAGCGCTGGGAAGAACGAGGGCCACTTTAGAGAGTGGTGGTAACTCAGGAGGCTAAGGAGTCAGACCAGCCTGGGCAGCATAGAAAAGGGTGGCAGCTTGGGAGTTAAGGGGCAAACAGGAAAAAGCCCTGGAGGGTGCTGCCAGGGCTGGAGACTGGGCTGCGCAGTAGAGGTGAAGGGCATTAGGGTCCCCAGCCCTCTGTCCACTACCAACAGCATCCACAGCATTCTCTCCTGGGTTCCTGCTGATTTCCCAGGAAGCTGAACATGCCACAGTTGGTCAGCAGCCATGCTCAGCCCCCAGGCACAGCAGCACCTGGGGCTGGGCTCTCAGGCCTGGGGGCCGGCAGACCCTTTCCAAGACTGGACAGAGAGAAAAGCCAGTTTGCTCAAGCAGACACAAAATGACCATTAAGGGTTCTGCCACAAGAGAGCTAGAGAATGTGCTGGTAGGTGTTTTCATAAAATGCCTACAGATGTGACACAAATGGCTAGACGTTCTACTTTACAGAAAAACAGAAAACAGCAGTTTCTGGGCAGGGAAGCCCCACCCACTCATGTGAAGGGCACTTGGCTGAGGGCTGAGCACAATTCTGAGGGGGAGGCTGCAACCCTGAGACCTCCAGCTGGTGTGACAGAGGGCAGCAGCTTCGGGGAACTGCAGAAAACCCAGGGGTCCTGCCTCTGCCTGTCTAGAAAGGGCGCTGTTTTGCTATCTCCAGCTGCTCCCTGGGCAAGTGACTGCTGGGGTGCTTGAAAGGTGGAACCAGGAATACCTATAGCAGTATCCCCTCCTCCCAGGGTGACAAATGCTTTTGCCCAATTGAGTACCAACTGCATTGCCCAGCTGCCAGGCTGGTCATCCGCTGAGCGGAGCCCACGTGAATGCAATCGCCTGATAGCCACCGCTGGCTGTGCACCAGGAGCAGTGACACACTGGGGCTGGCACCCACTAGGGAACCCCTCCAGCCCCGCCCAGAATCACGCCCCAGTTTGTCACCTCCCCCAAGCCCCAACAAGCAGGGTGGCCTTCCACAGCGCCCGGCTCAGTCTCCCTGCCCAAGGGGACCCAAAAGGGTCAGGCATCCTGCCAGGTGGCCAGCCAGGTGACCATTGGTCACTCAGTAGCAGTTCAAGGGCTCCTTTGTGTAGTGACGGACTGGCACGATGGTCACGTCCTTGGGCCGCCTGTAAGCCCTAGGGGAGCTGTGTTTCTGGGCCCAAGGGCGACCCAGGGGTGGGGCACGCGGGCGGGCAGAGGCAGAGCCCGGGGAGCCGCGTACCCGACTGGGGTCCCAGGTGGGGTGGAGTCTGGGCTGAGCCCTTGTGACCCGAGGCAATAAGGGGTGGGCGCCCCGGGCGGGGCGGCGGGCGGGCCAGTGCCCGGGGCGTGGGGCGGGGCAGGCGGCCGCACCTAGCCCGCCGCGCCGCGCGCCTCCCTCCACCGGCCGCCCCGCCCTCCGCCCTCGCAATAAGGGGCGCGGGCGCGCGGGGAGCGCGGGCGGCCGTCGGGGCTGGGCGCGGGCCGTGTGCGCGGCGGGCCATGGACCTGTGGCCGTGGCTGACGGCGGCGCTGCTGCTGCTGCTGCTGCTCGTGCAGCTGAGCCGCGCGGCCAGGTTCTACGCCAAGATCAGCCTCTACTGCTTGCTCTGCCTGTCCGTCTCCGCCGTGGCCTCGGCCGTCTGCCTGCTGCGCCACGGCGGCCGCACCGTGGAGAACATGAGGCAAGCGCCGGGCGCGGGCGGGTGGGGGAGCCCGCCGCCGCTTCCGCTTCGCTAACTTTCCGCTCCCCTCCCCTCTTCCTGCCCCGCCCGCCCGGCGGGGAGCGCGGCCCGGGCCGGCGCCCGGGACCCGGGAGCCGGCGTCACAATGTCCCCGCGCCCTTGCGCCGGCATTTCCTCAGCTCTGGCGTCCCTGCGCCCGCCCTAGCGCGCCGGCTGGCGGTGGGGGCACCTTTCTGGGAGGAAGGGGTTGGGCCGCGCGGGGAGAGGCCCGTCCTGCTTCACCGGCGGGGAAACTTTCCCCAGCGCCACTGGACGGGGCGCTCACGCGGCAGAGTGATCCTTGACCTCTCCCTGGGTCCCCTGCTGACGCGCAGGTGATGAACGTGTTTCTGCTTCCTTCTCTTGGGCAGGTGGGGAGACCTGAGAGGCGCTACTTCCGTGTGGAGGGAGGGAGGTGTTGGCCCCTGCGGCCCCCGCAAGCACTCGCAGGGACGGGAAGGAATGTGGCAGTTGCCGAGAGTTTCCTCTGGACACCTCTCAGAGCAGGGAAGCTTGGCCCTGGGGTTGAGCAAGGGAAGAGAACAGTTTGGGTTGACAAGAACCGTTGGTGGCTGCCTGGGAGGAGCCCTTCCTGCCCCTTCGCCTGTTCCCCATCCCCATCCCCAGGGACTGTTGCTACATTTCTCTCTGCCCTGTTTGGACTGTCCAGCTGGTGGCTTTTGCAATGGCCTCTTGGCTTTGGCCTAGGATGGGGACATTGTGGTCCCTGAAGCCCTACCTCCTCCTGTGTTAACAGGCACAGTGGGTGAGAGGGTGTCCTGACTTTCCATCATCTCTGCCCTTTGTGGGTCTTGGCAATGGAGGTGACACTGCTCAGTCTGGTCCATATTTCATTATCTCAGGCTCTTCTTCAGGGACTTGTGCTTTGCCTGAGAAGCCCAGATACAAAGGGTGATAGAGAGTGGATTTGAGGAGCAGAGCAGGGGTCTGGTGGGTGTTTTGTGACGACCCATCTCCTCTCTGACCAGTGTCCAGGGGAGCAGACCCCAGGGGCAGCCCAGGCATTTCCCTTCTAATAGGTAGTTCATCCTCAGGACAGATACCCTAGGCCATGCACGAAACACTGAAGGCCTGATGTGCAAGGGCCATGATGTGCAAGGGCCAGCTCCCCTGCAGGCTGGAAACTGCCTGGGGAGATAAAAGAGGTTCCCTTGGGGGAGCCTCCCTAAGTCCCTGGGCACTTCAGAGCAAAGTGGAGGGTGTGGACCTCAGGAAGGGCCCACTGGGTCTGGAAAGTACCAGGCAGATATGCTCCTTGGGGGGTGATATCCTTCCTAGGCCGGGCCAGCAGAGGGTTCTGAGGCCGCAGGTGTCCTGGGCCCAGGGCTGGGCTCTGTTTTCAGCAAATATGAAGTGGAAGTCCCTGGAACCTTTGTAGCTCCTTGGTGTCCTCTCCACCAGCATGTCCTAGTCTGGAGAGGCCTGGCGGGCTCTTCCAGGTCTGTTGCTGCCCAAGGGCCAAATCCAATCACCAGCTACCCTCTCTGAGGGTGGATGAACCCAGCAGGCTAGCCAAACCAGCACTGTCCCACCTTCTACCCTGCCTGCGCAGCCAGGGGCCAGAGAGTCTGGCCAGCTAGAACCCTCAGGTCCCTAGAGGCTCTCCTGATTGGCACCAGGTAAAGGGCCCACGGCCTCTGGGACACTGCTGGGTAACACAGGTGTTTGTTTCTGCCCACACATGGGTTCCCTAGGGAAGGGAGGGCTGGAGGGTGGGGCAGGGCTGGAGGCCTAGGAGCCCACAGCCCTGCCTTCTGCACCAGACTCCCAGAATCCCTGTGACGACTCCCAGCAGTGAGGAAAAGTGGGTGCTGTGAATGGGAAGGCCTCCAGGGGCAGGCACAGGGCGGGTTGAAAAGCAGGGAATGAGGGGTGCAGTCCCTGGGTGGCTGGTCAGGGAAGGGAGCCAGGAGCATGGGAGGTGGAGACTCAGGGGAAAGGGCCCTCCTGTGTGCTGCAGTGCCCCCATTGCTCAGACCGGAAGCCCCTCCCCCTGGTGCTCCCTTTCTGGGACACTGGTTGGAAAGCTCCCTGGTCTGATGAAGAGACTGAGGTTCAGAGGCTTGGCAGTGAGATGGGAGGAGGAAAGGTGAGTGTCCAGGGTCTCAAAGCCAGGGTGAGACACCGCTGGGGTTTGAACCCGCAGGCAGTGGCTCCAAAGTGCTCCTGGCTTTCCCTCTGTGCCCACCCCAGCGCTATGAGCTGGAGGCTGGTGCCTGGGGAGTCCTGAACTGGGGGGGAGAGCAGGGCTGCCCCTCTACTCCCTTTCCACTTCTCCTGGGCAGTGGCCCAGGCATGGGCCCTTCCTCCGGGTTCCAGGCAGGTGCCCACAGAGTCCTTCCCTGTGTGCTCCTAGGGCGCTGGGGCAGGGTGGCCGGGAGCTGCCTCAGTTATACCCACACACGCAGGAAGTGAAGCCCAAAGAAGCTCTGTGTTGGCTGAACCTATCCTCAGGAGGCCCTGAGGACAGGTTCAGCCAACAGGGAAGATTACTTTCTTGGCCCCAAATTCCTTTGGGGGCCCCACCCTTGGCCCCACCATCCTTAGGGTCCCAGATGCCACCGTGGTGGTGGGAGAGGAAGGCGCCAGCAGAACTTCTTCTTGCACCAAGTGGCCAGGACATGGCTGCACAGCAACTTGTCCCCTGCACCTATGCACCTGGGGAGTGGAGAAGGGCGTTGCTGGGCCCTGGGTCCTGGGACAGATGCATGGACAGGACACAGTGCTTTGCTGGGCCCTGGTCCCAAAGGAGGAGGGTTTCAGGGAAGCCTGGCTCCCTGGTCCCACCTCCCCCAGCCCCCATTGCTCAGACCGGGAGCCCCTCCCCCTGGTGCTCCCTTTCTGGGACACTGGTTGGAAAGCTCCCTGGTCTGTCAGGGGCCTTGCTCAGGCCTCCTGTACCCTGGCCATCAGTGGTCCTGCCTGCTCTTTGCCAGCAGGGCTGCTCTGAGTGAGCCCTCCCAGGTCCTCTTAGCCTTCTGGCCAGTCTTGCCCAAAGAGTGTGCCTGGGTCTCCAGGGAGCAGCCCAACCCAAGCCCAGCAGCTGAGGGCAAGGGTCAGTTGGTGGCCGTCCACGAGGACAGCCAGGCTGGTGGCCTGGTCTCTGGCCTTGAACTGCCTCCCGCTGCTGGAGCAGGTGCTGGCGGGAGGGGCTGGGCAGGTCGTGGCACCCTTTACTCTGAGTTACTGTGGGTTCTTTCTTGTGGAGTCCTGTCACAGCCGCCATTGGTCCTCAGTCCAGGGTCACCAGCCACCCAGCCTCCTGGAGTGGCACTCCTCTGCATCCTTCCCCTTTCCCAGGTGGTAGCAGAAACTTAGGAGGTCAAGGGCATTGCCCCAGGCCACATCAGGGAGCCAGGCCCCAAGTCCCACCTGGCAGCTGGCAGCAGTAATTCTGGAACACTGGGCTGGGCACTGGGCACAACCCTTGGGCTTCAGGTGACCCCAGCCCAGGATGGTACAGTTTACCTTCTGTTTTACTGCAGTTTAGAATGTGGGGGCTGGGGTAGAGCTCAGAAGTAGGGCGGGTGCCTAGCATGCATGAGAGCCTGGGTTCCATCCCCGTACTGGAAAGAGAGAGCAAGAGAAAAGAAGAGGGGCATGGAAATTGGGGAATACCCCACTGCCAGAGGACCACAGTCCCTTTCCCGATGTGGCCCGAGACTCCCCCATGCGGCCACAAGTGGAAGTGCCGATATTTGTAGTAAGGTTGAAGATTCTTTATCCAAAGTGCTTGGGACTAGAAGTTTTTCAGGTTTCGGATGGCTTTGAACTTGGGAAAGTTTACACATACATAATGACATATCGTGGGTACCCAAGTCTAGACACAGGTCATTTGTGTTCCGTGGGCATCTTGTACGCCTGGACGTAATTCTGTGGGTATTGCCAGTGTTGCCAGTGCACCTCTCTTTTGACTACTGCCTCTTGCATGAGGTCAGGTGTGGCATTTTGTACTTGTGTGGTCATGTCCAAAATCTTCAGGAGTTTGGAGCATTTGGAATTTAGGGTCAGGAATGCTCAATCCGTGTGAACCCTGTGAGTTCTGGGCTGGGATGTGGCTCAGTGCAGAGCCCTTGCCTAGCACCAAGTCCCTGGGTTCCACTCCCAGCACCAAGAACTAAAGTCATATGAATGCCCTCTGCAGTAAAGGGATCTCAGTTGCCGTTTCCTCTGCTTTGGGAGCTGAGAGGTGGGCCTAGAGCCCTTCTGCCTGGCCTTCCAGGTGCCTGTGGGCATTTTTGTTTCCCCAGCTCTGCATTCAGCCCTCTGCTGCCATGGGGAGAATTCCTGGCAGATCCACGCAGGGCCAAGGAGACCAGGTGCTCAGGGCTTCTGGTGCTGCCCTCCCCACAGATGCTCCCGGTCAGCGCCCCTTTCCCCAGCTCTGGCCACACCTCCTGCTTTCAGTTTCAGTCCGGCCCTATCTGTGACAATGTGAAGAGTGAAGATAGGTTCCTGTTTCAGTTTGACTTTCTTTGATAACTAGTGAGTGAGCTGCTTTCCATATGTATCGGACATTTGCCTTTTTAGTTTTCTTGTGAGTTGTCTGAGTGTGTCTTCAATCCTCACTTACTCCCAGGAGCTGTGTTTTACAGGTGGGAAAATGGCATGGACCCCAAAGAGCCAACCAGTTCTCCCTACCAGTGTCCAGGATCCAGGACCAGCCCATACCCCCCCATGGGTGGGGATGGCGGGCAGGTCTGTCCTAGAGAGGAGATGGCCCAGCAGATCTGAGGAACAGGCACAGGCTTCTCGGACCTGGGGACAGTGGCTGGCTTAGTTACCCCAATTAAACCCTGAGCCTCCGTGAGAGGCAGCTTCCTCACCAGGAGAGCTGCCCCTCCCTGGAGTCAGCCTTGTGGCAAGACAGCTGGTCAGGAGCCTGGGCTTTGGTCACAGAAGGACCTGTCCTGTGGGGTCTCAGATTCAGCTGTGGAGACAGGGCAAAGGCAGTTTCCAGGGCTTGGGCAGCGGGGCAGTCTGTGCAGGAAGGTGGGTGTTCTGTGGATGGACGTGGCGAGGGCAGCAGAGCAGGGTGAGCCTGCCTGATGTGCAGAGGTGACCCCTGAGGAGGGTCAGGGCCCTGTATGTGACGGTGTCTTTTGCCATGGTTGGAGTGGGACCCTGGCCGATGCCTCTGCTCTGCTGTGAGCCTGCGCTCGGAGCCTGGGGAGCTACTTCACTGACCTGTGGATGGGGTCCCTCTTCCCCTTGGGACTGGGGGATCACATGACAGGGCTGCACTCATCTGCGTGGACAGCGGAGGGTGTGGGGCCATAGCCCCCAGGTCATTGGGTGGCACATCCCCTGACACCTGCTGTCCACAGGGCTGGGAAGGATCAGGCTCCCTGCTGAGGGCTGTGGAGTGAGCCTGTGCCTTTGGGCTCTGTCTCCTCATGGGCTAACCTCCTGACTGGCAATGTCCTGTCCTGTCCCAGATGTGTGCAAAGCTGGGCCAAGGCCACCCCTAACCCCACATCCCTCTGGCCTGGTCAGCACTGTGGACACAGTCTCTGGGTGTCAGGACTGGATATAGGAGACTTGAGATGTCCCCTGGGAGGCCAGGCCTCTGCAGGGTGCTGGGACCCCTCTCACCCCATCTTGTCCATCATTAGCCTCACCCACTCCTGGGTGGGACCCACCTGCCTGCCAGGCACGCTCCCTTGGGCGGGCTGAGCAAGCATGGTGCAGGGGAGGCCAGCAGCCCCGCCACCCCCAGGATCCAGTGCCTGACTCCTGAACCCTTTGTCTTGCCATCTGCTGCTGTGGCAGAGGCAGGCTGGGCCCTGGACAGCATCTTCTCCCTACCTGGCCCCCACTCCTTCCCTAGGCCTTAGGCCACGCCCCTGGCCACTGACCTCTGCTCACTGCTGCCTCTGTCCACAGGATCATCAGCTGGTTTGTACGGTCCTTTAAGTATGCCTACGGCCTTCGTTTTGACATCAAGGGCCGGGAGAACCTGGAGGTGGACCGGCCCTGTGTCATCATCTCCAACCACCAGAGCATCCTGGACATGATGGGTAGGCCACCAGAGGCATGCGTGCTCTGCTCCTGGGGGGGTGGGCAGGTGAGCCAGGTGCTGGGCAGACATGGGAAGGGGACCTGGATGTCCCTCCAGCCACTGGCTTCCCTTAGGCTGGACAGTAAAAGCAACCGGCTGCCTGTGTCTGACACTGGGCACAGGGCTATACTGCAACCCAGGCTGGGTACCTCCCCAAAAGATGGTCAGGCCAAAGACCAGATGGAGTGCCAGGTGGGCAGTGGGGAACAGGGGGTCACCTCTCTCTTTCCTGGTGAGGGGTCCATTTGGGATGACACTGTCCTGTCTCTGTCTCTCCCCTATGTCTCTGCCTCTGTCACTCTGTGTCTTCTGTCTTATCTCTGTCTCCCTCTCCCTCTGTGTCTCTGTCTCTCCATCTCCTGTCTCTCTGCCTCTGTGTCTCTCTCCGTCTCTTGCGCCTGTCTCTGCCCCTCTCTCTCATGGTCCTGGTCTCCCTCTGCCCCTCCTGGGTCGTCCCCTGCTGCCGGCAGGCCTCATGGAGATCCTCCCCAAGCGCTGTGTGCAGATCGCCAAGCGGGAGCTCCTGTTCCTGGGGCCAGTGGGCCTGGTCATGTACCTCGGGGGCGTCTTCTTCATCAACCGGCAGCGCTCCAGCACTGCCCTGACCGTGATGGCGGACCTGGGCGAGCGCATGGCCAAGGAGAATGTGAGTGTGGGCCGCGGTGTGGCTGTTGGCAGAAGGAGTCTGCGGGTTGCACGGGGCACTCAGGACCCACTCCACACTGCGTGGTCCCAGGAGGGGCAGCGAGGCCTCCCTGGGGTGGCCCAGGTGGCAGTGGACAGCCCGGGATATAGTCGGCTCCTCTCTCCCCGCAGCTCAAAGTGTGGATCTACCCCGAGGGCACACGCAATGACAACGGGGACCTGCTGCCCTTCAAGAAAGGTGCCTTCCACCTGGCAGTGCAGGCCCAGGTAGGTGGGAGCCCAGGTCAGGGTGGCTCAAGGCTGAAGGTGACTGATGGGGCTCAGGGATCCCTTGCACTGGGCGGGGACAGGGCCTCATCACCACATGCTGAGGTGGGCGCCCTTGGGCCCTCTACCACTGGGCAGTTAAGGTCAGTACTCCCTCCAGCCCAGGCAACTGGCTGCCCCCGGCAGCACCTGAGAGCCAGTGGCCTGCCTCAGTAGGGGGTTTTGAGGAGCAGGGACCAAGGCGAGGAGCCAGGCCTGCTTGCTGAGCCCTGTCTGTGCTGGCTTGTGCTGAGCACTCCTCCAGGGAGTGGGCTGGCCGGGATGGCAGGCTACAGAGCACACGGGCATGGGTCGTGGCCTCATGGTCCTCAGCCTTCAGGGGCAGTAATGAGGCCCAGAGGTGTTGTGGGAGCCCAGGGGGTATCCACCATGGAGAAGGGATCTCCTGGAGGGTGAAGGGGGCCCACTAGCTCTTGCTCTATGCTGGGGAGACTCATGTTGGGGGGAAGCCACTGTCCAGGGTCAGGGAAAGGGTCTTCCGAACGCTGGACTGGTCACAGCTCAGTAGACGTATTCTCCTCTGCCCCTATGGTGGGTGGTTTCCAGTGCCCTAGTGCCTAGTCCTGAGGCTCTTCCCAGCACCCTGAGCTGACACAGAAGTTGCACCTAGGACCCACATGCCTGCAGCCACCCTGCTCTCTGGCCCGAGCCTCTAGCCAAGGGGTAGAAGACACTCCTGCCTGGGCCTGGGGCTGGAGTCATTTCTACCTTGCCAGTGGCCGTGGGGTCGGGGCTAGACTGGCAAGGCCTGGGAGAAGAGAGATTTCCCAGTCACCTGTCTCCCCAGGGCCTGCTCCTCTGCAGTCTGCCTGCCCATGTCCCAAGGTCCCATGACAGTCTGGGTTAATGATCATCCCCAGGTGCCACCTGTCACTGGTGGCTCTGACCCTGGGGCCTTCAAGGAATGTCAGGAGGCACCAGCCCCTCCCCTGGGTAGTGCTGCACTGGCCTCCTGAGTTGGGGGACAGGTGGGAAGGGAGGGTGGGCAGGGCAGGGCCAGGCCCGCTCAGCCTGGCGTGTCCCTGTGGCAGGTGCCCATTGTTCCTGTGGTGTACTCCTCTTTCTCTTCCTTCTACAACCTCAAGACCAAGCTCTTCACCTCAGGTGAGCCCCTGCCAGCCTCATACCCAGGGCCCCGTTCCTGATGGCTGCTCAGTGGAGTGACCCCACCGTGGGCCTGTGGCCCTGCAAGGGGGCTGTAGAGGGTCTGTTTTTCAGATGAGGAAACTAAGGCTCCAGAAGGGTGGAAGGGCCCAAGCAGGCTTGTAGGTGGGACCTGTGGAAGTGGTCACTGACCGTCCAGTCCTGGCGCTACATGGGCAGCCCAGGGAACCACCACTGGCCACAGAGCTGGCCTGTCCAGCAGTGCTGGCTTCAGGCGGGGGCCCTGATGCCACTCTTGCTTATCTGGGGGGGTCAGAGGTTGAAGGCAGTAGGGGAGGAGCCAAACTCCATCTCCCCACAGCCCAAACTGCTGAGGACAGATGTCGGGGTGCAGTGGGGGCTGGCCAGGAGGGGTAGAGGGGGCTTTCTGGGGTGGGAGTGTCCTGTGTGGCCATTGGTGGTCACCGGGTGGGGGAGACCATGGCAAGCACCCTGTGCGCACTTGGGAGCAGCTTTATTGGTCAGCATCGCCTCAGGACAAGCCCACAATGGCCAGGAGCTGGGTGGGCCCAGCCCTCCAGGTCTAGGTCTCAAGGCTCAGGCTCAGGACAGGGTGGCCGGTGGGGGCAAGGCTGGGGCAGCAGCAGGTGGCCCCCAGCTGCTGATACCACTGTCCACCCCAGGAATAATCAAGGTCCAGGTGCTGGATGCCGTCCCCACCAGTGGCCTCACTGTGGCCGACATTCCCAAGCTCATGGACACTTGCCACCACGCCATGAGGAGCACCTTTTTCCACTTGTCCAGGAATCCCCAGGAGAACGGGGCCATTGAGGGACCTGCTGTCCAGCCAGCCCAGTAGCCCTGGCCATGGGGTGGGGGACCTGGGGCAGGGCAGGCGGGAGGCAGAAGACTAGGAATGGACAGAGAGACACCCCCTCCCAGGCTGCCAAATATCACCGTGTCTGGCTCCCCGGCTCCCGGCTCTCACTTGGACCCTGGAAGCAGGAAGCCCTTTGTCACTGGCCTCAGATGAAGGCCCCTGATGTCTCTTCCAGGAGTGAGCTGGAAGCAGCCAGCATGAGGGACCTCACCCTCATGCCTGTGCCCCCAGGATCTGGTATGTGGCCTCAGGCAGGCTTAGCCCCAAGCCTTCGGGGGAAACTGAGAGCCCTGGGATGTCCAGACTGAGGCCACACCTCTGCCCTGGCCAGGTCCTGGTATATCTGCAGGGCCCACAGGGTGCAGAGTCAGGCTCAGGGGTCCAGGCCATGGCCTGCATCAGGCCTTCGGGGAGAGAAGAGGCTTGGGGGCTGGGACTGCCTGGTTTCACCCCGCCTGGGCCACAGGGAGCTGGAGGGCAGGGTCTGCGGCTCCCACCGGCTTCAAGGATGTCTGTGGGTCAGTGTTGTACTCAGTTCTTTTTTATAAATGAACTCTTGGAAGTAATTGTTGAGCTGTGGTCACTTAGAGGATGGGCAGGGGCTTCCCAGGTCTCTGTCCAGGGGCAATCTTCCAGGCTGCCTGTGCTGCCCCCTGCCCAAACTGCTGGGCTAGCTGCCCTCCCAGGGTCCAGTGAGAAGGCCTCCAGCCCCAGCAGGGTGGGCTACCGTCACCCACAGTGCCTTCCTCATGGCTGTGAGGGGTTGAGGGGGCAGGGTGACTGACTGCCTGGAGATGGGGGACAGAGGCCAGCTGTGCAGTGGGGAAGCACCAGCTGAGCTTACGTGGCGATCACGACCTCGGAAGCTCACGGCCACCTGCCTCAGCCCTGACAGCACCGGGAGCCTGGTGTGGTGGGCCTGGAGTGCCTTCCCTGAACCCCACCATGGCAGTGGGTCTGCGCAGGGCAGCACCTTCCTCCTACCCCAAACCATCCATGGACAGCAGCTCAAGTCTTGATTTTATTCTGGCAGACACAAGACAGGCCTCTGCCCTGGTCCAGGCATACTGCCCAGTGAGCCCCAGTGGTCCCCAGCCCTGGGCATGCAGCCCCCGTACCTTCCCTGGCCTCCGACCCACTAGGCCCTGGAAAATCCAGCCATGACGGGAAAGCGTTCATGCAGAGGACCTCACCCCACACATAAGTCCTCCCTGGGAGCCTTCTAAGGCAGTTAGACAAAGAAAGGGCCCTTCCCAGCCTGCCCACAGCCATCACCAGGACTGGCATCGGGCCCAGCTAGGGGACTAGAGGTAGGGGAGCTGGGGTGGGTCAGTGCAGCCTGCAGTGCGGAAGGGTCCTCACAGCTCCTTCTTGCATGAGCCTAGAGGCAGAAGAGGGGGCCGTGTCAACAGTCAGACCTGCCTGTCCCCTTGGTGGCCACACTGGCCCGAGATGGTTCCCAAGCTTCCAGGGCAGGTGGCTGTGGCACTCACAAGACCCCAGCTGCTCCTCCAGGAAGGATATCTGCTCGCTCAGTGAGTCAATGCGGTCCAGCTGCTGCAGTGAGTGGGCCAGGAGGCGGCCAGGGTCCTGGAGTCCCTGTTCCACGGCCCGCGAGGCCAGGCTGTGCAGTGGGGCGAGCACCAGCTGTAGCTTCTGTGGAGATGCAGGAGGCTGACGACCCAGGGCCAGCCCCTCCTGCACTTGCATAAGACTTAAGCCCAGTCAGGGCTGGGCAGGGCTGGGCAGTGCTGGCCCCCAGCTCTGGCAACAGGGCTCTTCTCGCCACTAGAGGAAGCTGCTGCTTGAAGGGCCGAGAAGCTGGGTGGGCCTGAAGGACGTCAGACAGGCCAAGGCCTGGGCACCTGGTCCTAAGGTCTTAAGTTTCGGTAGAGGGACGAGAAGGGTCTCAGAGCCCATGGCTTTGTGGGAAGGCCAGCAAAAGCTTGACCTGCTATGGCAAGTGGAGGTGGGCTCTGGGTCTGGGCTCCCACTCCAAGCATGGCCTGGGGAGGGGTATCCAAGCTCAGCTCCTCCTGGCCAAGAGTCCCAGCCAATGTCCCACTGCCCCTGCCCAAAGAGCCCCTAGACTTCTGGAAGAAGGAAAGGGGGGCCTTTGGGCTGCCCCATGGAGCCTCAAAACCATCCCTCAGGGAGAGTCATGTCCTGGGAAGCCGAGGGGGATCTGTGGCCCTCCATAGGATCAGGGAGGTCCCCCCAGTCCTCACCTGCTCCAGCATGTCCACCCGGGACTGTAGCTGACGCACCTCCTCTCTCACCATGCTGTCCACTCCTGCAGGCAGATCCAGGTGTGGTCAAGAGGGTGGTCCCCATCCCACCCCACCCAATCCTGAGGCTGGCCTCTGATCCTGAGGACCGCCTGGCACATCCAGCCCCCACCCTGCCCCTTGGTGCAGGGCCAGGCTTGCTGTGCTGACCCGGGGTCCGAGGCGCTCCTGGTGCGGGGCTGCTGACGGCGCATTATTACTCACGGTACGAGTTTGAAGTGTCACAGCGCGTACCAAAAGTAATAATGCCCCGTCACCAGCGGAGGCACGGTGATTCTCCAGGTTGCTGGTGCTTGCATCTCTTGGCTGAGGCGAGGCCTCAGGGAAAGCTCCCCTCAGTGCCTTCCGGGAACCCTGGGGGCAGGGCCTCCTGCTCCTTCCACCCACAGAACTGCCCAGCAGCCCAGCCACCTGGGCTCAGTCCTCTCTGTGTGATGCTAACCCAGGCCAGGGCTGACTGCCCTGTGCAGTGGGGAAGCACCAGCTGAGCTTACGTGGCGATCATCTAGGGTGATGCCCACCCACCTGCCCACTGCCCCAGGCCAGGCCCAGCAGTAAGGGTGGAGGGGTGAGCTCACCTGTTGTGGGACCTGGGGCCACCCTGGGGGGCCCTCCCTTGGGCAGGCAGAGTGTGCCGTCTGCAGACGGGCCGTGCCCCTCCCAGCACTGGCACCAGTAGCTGCCTGCAGTGTTGACACAGCGCTGGGGACAGCCGGCTCCTCCAGTGCTGCACTCGTCCACATCTAGGAAACGGGGGTCAGTGGTGCCTGCAGAGGACCTCCCCGGCCCCTCATGGAGGCACAGCCAACCTTACCTGTCTGGCAGGTGTCACCCTGCCACCCTGCAGGGCAGTGGCAGTGGCCTGGATGGACACAGCTCCCTCCGTTCCCACACGGTGGCTGGCATATTGCTGTGGGTAGGGGAGGCCTGTCACCAGTGTAGGGTGACAGGGCCCTGCGTCAGCAGCCAGGGAAGGGGGCACTCTGCAGCAAGGGGTGCCCTGCTGGTCACCTGGGAGCGGGAATCCTGATGCCAGGTACCCTCCAGGGCCCCCGGGTGGCAGTACCTGGGGACGGCAGTGTCCTGGGACCTGCTGCCCTCACCTGCTCCGCAGGCCCCAGGGAGCCCACTGGTCCTCTTCCAGCCAGGGCAGCAGGCGAATTGCGGCCGGGCAGGGGCCGGCCCAGGGCTGCGGCGATAGGCGGTCCTGTAGATAGTGCTGTAGGGGTGGGGACTGCTTAGAGGGGCTGACAATTGGGTGGCCCAGGCCTGGCTTTACCCTGCCCACTTGGTCTGCCAGCTTCTGAGCACCAGAACAGGGTCACTCCCAGGTGTCCTCAGAGGTCCTCTCCCCAGGGATGTCAATTCAGAGTCACTGCATTGGATTTCCCTAGGTGGCTGCTCCAGTGTTGAAGAAGCCCCAGCTGTGCCTGGCACAGAGCAGGGACAGTGCCAGGCCCGTGAGTGCCTCTTCATCCCGAGCCTGTGACGAGGGCATCTAGCCAGAGGGGCAGGCCTAACCTGGTCCTGCAGCTGGTCACTGGCAGAACCAGCTTAACCTTGGCCTTCTTCATTTCCCTGGGGTCTGGCACCTGGGGTTGTCACCTTCTACCTCTGGGGATCAGGAGCCCCTGGTTCTGGAGTCCTGGCCTCCTACCCCTAGTGGGGAGCTCACAAACTATCCTGTTCCTTCCTACCCTTTCCCAGGATTTCTGGGTGGGGCAGGCTAAGCTCCCTAAACTCAGGAACAAGGACCCTGCCTGCAGCTGAGTCCTGAGCCGCAGGACCCCAAGGCTGGTGTGTCAACCTGACGGATGTATAGGGGCCTGGGGGCCTCCATCCATGCCCTCAGGGACTGTCGTGGGGAGGATGACCACTGGAGCCCTGGGTACAGCCAGAGGGACTGAGACAGTTGCCACCCCAAGTCACAGAAAGCTTTAGCCAATGGTGTCAAGGGTGGGCAGGCGGGCTGAGCACCCTGGAAGCTAAGGGTACAGATGGGTGGACAGCCCCTGGAAAAACGGGGGATTCCCTGGGAAGTGATGTCCTCGGACTCAGACAACTGAGACCTACTGCCTTGGCTTTGGCTTGCCATCTCAGGTCAGGTGCCCTCTTGAGCCAGGTGGTGGATAGGTACCTTGGAGGGTTGGTCTGGGGTCCTGAGGACACTTACCGGTAGGTGCTGCAGGCTCGGTGCCCATCGCAGGTGGTGAGGAGCGGTTGGTACACACGCTGCACGAAGGACTCGGAGATGGGGCCCCTGGCAACTCCCACCGCACACACCCTGCGGCTGTGGCAGGGCAGGCAGGGTCAGAAGAAGGTCCCAGAGCCAGGAGCCACCCAGCCCCGGGCCCATGAGAGCCCACAGGGAATCCCCTTGGGATTTGGAGGCTGCCTTGGGGAGGATCTGAGGGCTCTTGGTTCCCACCCCAGCACCCTGAGGCCCAAGCCCTGGCTCACCTGGGCCGGTAGACATGCTCTGTGCCACCCACAGCCAGCACCAGAAACCACACTAGAAGCAGCTCCTGGGAGCCCCACATGGCCTGTGTGTCCAGGAGGGATGGCCTTCTCCTCTGGGTGGCCTGGACACAAAGCAGGACCCCATTAGCCCTCCTGCAGACTCTTCTCTATCCCAAGCCTCTGGTGGAGTCCGCATCTTCGGCTTTGTGAGGCCTGCCTAGCTCAGCCACTTGCTGGGGCCTCCCACCAGGGGGACAGACCCCAGGGTCGATGCCAGCTCCCCCTGCTCCAGGTGGCCAGCCAGAGCCAGGCCGCTGTCCAGGGTTCTTGGGGAAGGAGGTATCTGGGCCTTTTGGGCTAGGGAGCTGAACCTGAGGGCACCCAAAGCTCCAGCTCGGCCAGTCATCCTTCCCTCCCCTGGCTGGTTTTAGGGCTCTTGTGGTCACAGGAAGCAGGGGCCAGCTTGACCTCCGCTCCCAGTCTGCTAACAGGGCATTAGTGGGCAGAGCTGGAATTCAGCCTAGCCTGGGACTTGCCACCCCGTCACAGCCCTTCTGGACTTGGAGTCCTTGTCTGCCAATAGAAAGCCAGTAGGGGGCACTGTGGAGTCTGTATCAGGTGCAGGCGTCTGGCCTCCACCAGCAGGTGCGCCACAGCCAGGAGGCATTACAGGGTGCACATCCTGAGGCCAGGGGAGGAAGGCCACAGCTACAGGAGCATCTCTGCCAGTCTGAAGCACATGTGCAGTCTCTGGTGTTCCCAGGCCAGTGTTCCCCAGGGCCCACAACTAGGGGAGTAAGGGGCACCCACAATGCAGA